ATATTTTAGTCTTTTATCTTAATAAATTTATACGTTTTAATCTTTCATTTTATATTATATATTATGACATTTTTAACCCTTTACGTTAATAAGTTTATAGATTTTACTCCTTCACCTTATACTATAACACTTTTAGTCTCTCACTTATACGAATTGAAGAAAATAACCCTTACTTAAAATTAAATTATAACGTTTTATTAATTCTATTAGTTGACTGTTAATTCTATTAGTTGACTGTTAATTCTATTAGTTGATTATTAGTGTTTCGTTAATATTTCGTTAATAAAACTAACAAATAAAATTGAATTTAAATTTCATGTTTTTATAATGAAATACTAATGGATGCTAACAGTCAACTAACAGAATGTTATAACTTGATATTAAATAATGATTATTTTCTTTAATTCGTATAGGTAATGGGTTAAAAGTATCATAATATAAAGTGAAGAATTAACACCTACAAACTTATTAAGGTAAAAAACTAAGAGTGTCATAATATAAAATAAAGAGTTAAAATCTATAAATTTATTAAGATAAGGGACTAAAAGTAGATTTTTGCCCAAAAGACAAGTATTAAATCATTAACAGCTGTGTTCACTAACCAAAAGAGAATAAAAAACGAAAAAGAAAAAGAAAAACAGATCGTGTTGGACCTATGTCAGCCCAAACTGACCAGACCCATGTTTATTTATTTATACAAAGGCCATCTCTTGCAACATGAGAAGCCCTTTCGGCCGAATTGAAATTTCTGTAGAGATCGAATTTAGGGCCTAAGGGGTGGGTCATGGCCTCATGCTGCTATTTAGTTAAAAAAAAAACCCGAATCGAACAGAACTTTTAAAATTTGGTTCGGTCAATTCAGTCATTTTAATAAGATTCGGTCTAAACCGAATGGCACTAACTGCTTTTCTGTTTTTCTTTCTTGTGAGCATGCCAAGGAGCCACCAATGCCTCTTATGGAAAATGATAAATGGGGCAAAAATTATAAGACGGAGAAAAAGAAATCAGAGCCATTAAATTTGTGGGACTCACCACATATTGATGGGCATGATTAGACATGGCAAAAATTAATTCAACCCATGATCCCGATCTAAATTAAACCTATAAAAATAAATTAAAATTTATATGTTTCAATTTGTAACTCATTAATAACTTATAAATTTGGTCCGAATGGATTATATAACTTATGAGTCACGGGCAAGTAATTATGTGAGTTGATAGCTTATACTCTTTAATTCTTTTTGGGAAAAAAATTATTCTCAAGTTTGCTAGCCGTATTTATTACCAATAATAATGGTAATGGACTTATTTATTATTATTAACAAAAATTATTTTTTTATTAACCAATTAACCCTATTTATTCTTAATTATAATGGCCTATTCCACGCCTCCACTCCACCTTACCAACTCACCGCAGAACTCTTTCATCTTCATTCTTTATTTGGTTCAAAGCTCAAAAATCCCTAAGCCCAATGTCTACTCAACCTCCATGCCAGACTTTGCATCTTCCCCTTTCAATCCTCCATATCCCTCACTTATCTCAATCACTTCACCAGCCACTTGTTTTAGTGCTTTCTCTCCCTTTGAACATTCATCCACCTCCCTTATTCTCTCAAGCCAAATCTTTTCCTGTTCAAGGTATGGGTCTTTCATATCTATATTATTATTATTATTATCTTTTTTTGCATTTTGGATGTTTTTGTATTCAATTTTTAGTTTTAATATTTGATTCTATTTAACTTAATTTCATTTGAAATCCTATTTTATTTTTATCTAAAAATAGATTTTATTTTATTAGATTTTATCTATTTTTTGTTGATTCTATTCCACTTCCTTATTGATTTTGATTTTATTTTATGATTTTTTTACGTGACTTACAATTTTATCGATAATAATCCAACACATATAACTCGCCATCCAATTTGATCCAACTCGACCCCAATCCAATCAACCTGTTTGTTAGGTCTAGGCATGATCTATCGTCTCACAGTTTCATCCCATTTTTCGTCCTATGAATCAGCCCTCTCTGCCTAATTGCGATTATAATGTGGGGATTAGAGTAACTACTAACTAATGACAATCTGCTGCGGCAGGATTTTTTTACCAAACACATTAGTACTTGTAGTAATAATTTTTTGGTCAGCCATTATAATTTAAAAACTGATGTGGCGTTTTCTGAGTTTTGAAAATTAACAGAGTTTGATTTCCCAGGTGATACATACTAGACCTATATATGAATCTCTGATGTTGATGCAGATTCAAAAGAGAAGGAAAAATGGTGCAATGTATTGATAAATGGGACGGGAAAGCAGGATATACTAAACCGCCTGACCAAAATAGGTACTAAAAATGGACCACCTTTGCATGGTCCATCTTACAATATGATTCAACTCTGGGAACGATCGGTGAAAAATTAAACCAAGTAAAGGGGACCATCAATCATATGTGAAAAAGAGAGCCAGGATCGGTCTTAAATTTCCCTTTTATTTGTAATTATTGAACATTTACTCTTCTTTTTCTTTTTTTCTCTTTGATAGGCAGGATTAGATGGTCTGTTTGAGGGAATGTGAAATCGAATATCATAAAAACATCAAGACTAAAATCAATTCGTGATAGATGTTGTAGTTCATGTTATATTTAGGTTTATAAATCTTCTATTAACTTATTGATATGAGATTTTCTCACTGCACCTGTTACTTTTTTGAGGAACCAAAATGGCTTTCGTTGATGGCTGATGGGTGAAGTGAAAAATGAATAGAGAGCTTCTTCTTGTCATGCGGTGCATTGGAGGAGAGGAGGAATCAGAAAAGGAAAAGCTGGCGGTATGGAGCATCTTGTTTGGGAAGGCATATATCTTGGGATCTCCGATCACAAATTCTTTGTCATTTACTACCGAGCCAAAAGCACAGGACCACTTGGGATGGCAGAACCTGCTGTCTTCCTTTGCTAACTTTCACACACTTTTGCTAAAATTTTGAACTCTCAAAAGCTCCATTCATAGATTTAATTGATTCATGAATCATGATGCTTCTAAGTTCTAAAAATATACCCAAGTGTGATAGAGCCTTTTTTCTTCTTTTTTCTAAGTTACTATAGTTGTTAAATATATGATTTAAACTCATGAACTTAATTTCAAATTGAGTCATTCCCAATATGAACATCACCAAAAGGAATTCCAATTTTTCTATAAAAAGTTCCCAATTAAACCGACCACCTTGGAATCAATGGTGTAAACTTATTCAAAAAAAATTAGGGAAGATTTGAATAGAGTACATAAGAGAAGAAAGAATATATGATGATTACGATTGAGGGAAATGAGAATTTATAGTGTTCAAAATTTCGAGTAGCAAACTTTAGTGATGCCTTCGTGGGGGAATAAAAAAGGTCAACACCTAGCTAGCTAAGGTTTAGCTTCATCTTTAACCCCTCACCTCTCTCTGAAAACCATATTCTTCCTCATCATTGCCATGCCTAATTAACCTAATTTATGTACGGAATCTCCAACTAAATAGATAAACTAATTAAACCCCAAATATATCCTTAATATTCTATCTTAACATAACAGAAAAGCCACAATTATTTATTCCAACTACTTTGAAGTTCCAAGGCAGCGCCTGCAAACTTTAGAAGCAAACCTAACCCAAAAAAGCAAAAAATTTATTTACGCCCACATTCCTTGAATAAGTTGCAAACCCACCACCATGGAATTAAACAAATTAATATGGGGTTTTCTTAGTTCCTAATGATATGATTTTGACTAAAATGATTCTCTTGTGTTTGTGGGACTGGTGTTGGCCATTTTAAGATTAGGAAGTTCTTGCATGCTTCTTGTCACGTATTAGTGGAGTATTTTATAGGGCATGATTAGGTCTACTGACAATGAACATCACCTTTCAATTAATTTGTTTTTAATTAGGCCAAAGCCCTTAACCAACCAGTACTTCTAACATTATTCCTTTGGATGTTGCTACTTAATTGATGTTGGGCTATGAAGGCTCCATCTAAACTGCCAGCTTTGTTTAACGTAAGCTGGGATATATGATAAATGGCTAATAATTTAAGTGGGACTGTAATTAACAACAAAGGGCCAATGGGTGAATCTTAAATCTCAATAGCTTGAAGTTGAGACTTGAGACTTTTTGGTAGCCTACACCCCTGAAGAACAATGTGAGGAAGTTTGGTGATGTAACAGCCTCTCAATTAACTACATATTTAATGGTTTAAGTAATTAAATGAGATTTAATCAGCTAAACTTTATACTCTTTTTTTTCTATATAAATATTTTATTAAATATAAATTGTATCTAAATGTACAAAACTAACTATTAATAGACTAGGGACATTTAAAATTTGGGATTATCCTCCCATCTATTATTAACTTTTTATTATATGACGTAATTTAAAATTTCAAAAAATCTTCTAAAGTTTTTAACGAGAAATTGAATTAGGAGTTATTAAACCTCAAGAGAAGAATCCATAGAAGTTTTGGCGGCTTGCTGGCTACCAAACATGGTCATGAAATGGGATTTATGGAAGGGAATGGAAGTACACAAAAGAGATCCTTTTTGAGTATAGAGTGGGGAAGGAGAGATGGGAGGGGGATATGCTAACTCAATGTTGAAGTAATTAAGAGAAATAAAGAGGGTCCCTCCAGCACAGCAATGTACAAACTACTACAAATTAACCCAATTCCAGATAAAGCAAAAGCTCTCAACTTTCTCTATTCCCATGGGCGATTATCTGCCTTTGCCTTTACCATCACCCTTCCTCATTTTGCTTCTCGTTTCCATCTCGAATCTTTCGTTTTCCCTCCTCTCTTTTCCTTTCTTTTCCCCATATTCAATCAAATGCTATACTGTCAGTATCTCCCCTATGCTTCCGATCCATCATCACAGACTTATCGCATCCCTAGAAAAATCAAAATTCCATGCCTCCCCTTTTCTTCTCTTTCCATTTTTTTAAAAACAAAAATATCCAACAAAACATATATGATTCACACAAAAAAAAAAAAAAAGGAACACCGTACAATATCAGTCTCTATTTTCAGATAAGAACACATGATCAACCACTTTACTTCTGTCTGATGTTAAAATTTTTCAGTCTAATCATCAGAATGAACAAAAGTTACAAAACCAACCCATGAAAGAACAAAAATTTTTGGTTAATTCTATGAATTATGTTGTAATTAAGGCTGCATCATGATGCCATTAGCAATGGCACGATTTGTATTGATATGAGTGGTTTCATACACCGGAAGTTCTTGCCGGTACCGATCTTTTCCGATCACGGTGAGGTGATCGAGCTCGAACAAGTCTGAACTGGAATAGCTAGCGGCGTCGTCGTCCTCGTCTTCGTCCTCGTTGTCTTCATAATTGAAGGGAGTTTCCCTCTGAAACAGTTCGTTCTTCTTTTGGTTTTGATGATACCCTTTCAAGAACTCTCTCGCCATTTCTTCTACTCGCCTACTCTTCTCCATTACATGAAATTTCAGCTCGTCATCGGCCGTTGTTTTCGTCGGTGATCTTCCTATTTTCCACGCCGACGGTACCGAAACCGCCATTGATCTGGACGATTCTTCTTCTTCTTCTTCTTCGTATAAGTTTTTATGCCCACATGGTCGACAATCTTCGTCCACGATTACACTAACTGGGTAAAATCTTACAGTCCGTTTAACACCATTGCGCAATCTCTCTCTCGTACCCGGGGAATTCTTACTCAGACATGATCTAGAAAACGAGGAAGCCGAAGAACATGTCGACACCTGCCCTGATTTCGCTTTTCTTTCTTCGTCACAGCTTAAAATCGAAGCAGAACTCTTGGGTTTCTTTGCATTTCCGGCGGCGAACAAAGAGTTGATGAAATTCGCCAGGCGTCCACCAGGTGAAATAGGCTGCTTCACCTTCTTTAAATTACTGTAGATTTTCATGGCTCTTGACTTTGACTTGATGAGATTTTCATCGAACTTTGGGGTGTTGTCGGTTGCAGAACTGTAATGGTGGTAATCATCGAACATATGCAACTCTCTCTGTTCGTAAAACAGAGTCCTCTCTGTTTTCCCAGCTCTTGGCGGCTTCTCCTCTCGCGCCGACGCACTGGTCCGAACAGGCTTTGGTCTAGAAGGCGCAAAACACAACCTTCTAGATTTCGCCCCGTACATAGATTCTGTGTCCGACGATGAGAAATCACCGGAACTGGAATCCGTGGAACTCGAAGTGGAGCTAAAGAAAACAGCATCCTGATCGCGATCGTGACGGTCATAGCCACCACCACCACGACGTGGTTTTCTCTCAAATTCAGTTAAAATCTGTTTCCTTTCCGCATTTGCCTTTTCCCTGACCTTCTTCTCCATCCATTTCTCCACCAAACAAGCTCGTTGAAAACTCGACATCTCCTCCTCCCCTCCTCTGCTTCTCCCGCCGCCTTTGCTCTGTTTCCTCTGCATTGTTTCCGTGTAAAATTTCAAGTCCTCTCGCTCCGCATCACCTTCATCGATAGATCTGTAAATTTTCTCAAGCAAAGATGATGAAAATGATGGGTTTTCTTTCAATGCTCTCTCCAATCTATTCATGGGAAATCTATCCAAGAAAACAGAGGAACAAAATGATGAAGAAACAATAAGTTTGTCTGTAAAGAACGGATCAAAAGCTGCAAAGGAGTGAGATGAACAGTATCATAAATGGGAAAGAAAAAAATCATGAACAGGGTACTGGATTGGTTATGGAGAAAGAGAGAAAGAAAACGAGAGAAAGCGAGAGAAAATTTGAGAGTAATTGAGAGCACATTAGCACGCCTTGGAGATGAGGAGAAAGGGAACAGAAGGCATACGCAATATAAAGCTCTTCACGCGCGTGGATTTCCATCCTCGTTGGAGCCTATGCCAGTGTGTCACTTGATGACTTGGCAATTCTATATTTTTCTTTTTCAAACCTATAATATTAGATATATATAATGTGACTTATTATTATAAATTTATAATAATAATATAATATTAAATAAATAATAATATTATTAAAATTTTAAATTAAAAAAATCAATTATATATATAATGACAAATTATATTATAAGTTTGGACGGTGCTATAAAAATAATTTTTTAATATTATTTTTTGATATAATTTTTACATATTATTATTGAGTTAATATATTCAATATCACAGATTTTATATTAATAAAAAAAATTAATAATTTAAATAACACGTCAAATTATATAAAAAATTTATCCTAAAATTATTTTTCTATAAATTTATAATATTAACTAACATAGAAATGATAGCACTTTGGTTTCCCAAATTTGCCCATCTTTACAAAATCAAAATTATAGCCGTTGATCATGTAGAACGTGATGTGGGGACAGGTGTTGGTGTAAGATTGGGAAACTCGAGGGTCTATATGGAAAGTAATTATGAGGTAGCATCCTCCGGATTATTGCTCAATTATGTGCATTTTGTATTCTTTTGGAAAGAAAATTTGGATGTGAACACATGAACAAAAATTGGTTGAATTAATTATTAATTATAAAGGGTTGGGTGGAAACGATAGGTAATAAGATTCAATGCGGAAGGGCGCAGCATTTGATGTTTGTAAAATTATGATCCAATTTTACTTCCATTGATTGACTATTCAATTGTGCTTTCATTTACTACTTCCATTCAAATCAATGCGTACAAAAACGAAATAAGTTTCCCTCTAACAAACGAAACTCAAGACTAATGCCTTATTCACATGTACTTCATATAGAGATTTTGTTAATTTGAATAGGAGGATTTTAACTTTTTCTTAAACAAAATTTTGAGTCGAAAGATTATGAATAGAAAAATAGATTTTGAAAGAATTTTTTTTTATGAGTTTAATGTAATTTTTAAATATTAAAAAATTTAATAAAAACCAATTATCTGTTAATCCGAGTGGAAAGAATTCGTTTCTTATTAAATAAAATCTTGAGTTCGAATTTTGTGAATGAAAAAATATGCACCAGAAGAACTCACTCTTAAATAGGGTTCGACGCGATTCGATTTCAAATTAGTTAAAATTCAACGTGATTACCAAATATTGAGAAATTAATAAAAAAACATAATAGTTAATTTTAAATAAATTTTAAATAAAAATATATATAATTCACGCAAACAAAAAGAAGAATACAATTGGCAAGTATAATTTCTGTAAAATTGAGCAAAATGAAATAAAAAAATCATGCATATCGTTTGCCGTGAATGAAGATAAGAATTAGAATATTCAAATGATGAAGGGTATTTTTCAATCTTAAGAATTAATAATAAAATCTCTTCACCACCTAAAGGGTTCAACAATGATCAATTAAGTGGGGAAGTTTCAATGTCTCTGGGGTTTTAAAAATGATACTGAGTTGGCATATGATCATCGTTCATGCATTCTTTTTTATGGAAATAAAATGTTTAAGGACCATATAATATAAGGCAAGAAATATATAATGTGATGGACTTTCTTCCTCGTTTCGTTTCGTTTGGTTTGGGAATTTAATTGATTTTCTTATGTAGTTTTTTTTTTTTTTTTTCTCTCGTTTAGATGGAGTTAATTTGTCGTGTCGTTGAATTTTGTGTATTTAATTTGCTGCGTATGGAACATTGAAAGGTGTAACAGACACGTAATTACCCATTTTTCTTTTGGAAGATTTCTGAAAAAGTTTAGTTTAAGGCAACAGTCAAATTATGTACATAATTAAAAAAAAAAAAAGGATTGTCGTGTATTTAAAATTTCTTTTTTTAATGGATTACAATTGAGCGAGGGAAATTTTGAAGCTTAACTCTAAGGTCAGGAGTGTAATTTATGATGAGATATACAATTAGTCATAAAATTATGTGTATTTAAAGTTTTGATTACAAAACACATTAAATGAAATATAATTTTTAATATTAAAAAATTTATTCTTATTTAATAATTCATATTGAATTATTTAAATAATAAATTATATAACA